CAATCCATTATGTAATGTTGTCAATCCATTATGTAATTCTCTTTTGTCTCCTTTACCACAGATTGAAGCGAAAGTACTTCTGTGCAAACTCCTGACCAGTTTTGACTTTAGTCTGGTACCGGATCAGTCTTTTGATATGGTCACTCACGGAACCCTGCGTCCAACAGATGGCTGCAAGGTCACACTCAAACCAAAGATTAACTAGGTGGGAGGAGAGTGAGGGCGTGGCTCTGGTGTGGGGGGTGGAAACTTTAAGTGTGTCAGATAGGTGAAGGTAATGTGGCTTAGATGACGTGATGGAGGTAAGCTTGTGGGTGTGGCTTGTGGGTGTGGTTCGAAGAGGGACGGAAGGAAGGAGGTTTTCCAGAATGTTAATTACTACAACCATTTTCCAAAATCTGTATCTGCCTCGTGCTCTGGCCTCATTCGGGTCCAGAGTTATTAATCCTGAAATGATAGATTTGAATGGAATTTCTCCAGAAGATGATTCCTTTTCAGACATTAATGACAGGATCCCACAAAATGAGACTTAAGGCCATTCTTTCACTCATTCTGTTTCAGACTTGCCAACCTAGCCGTACTCCTTCCTGAGGTCGGGCATTACCACAGGATAGATTAAAATTTTAAACAAAGTCAAGGCTCATTTAAATACCTTTTATTCTATTGTATGGTAATGACTGACCCTAGGCAGGAGTATGGCAAGGTTGGCAGTTCTGTATTTTGCATCTGAAATGGTACATTTTAGGGCTGTACAGATTTTTTAAATTTTCAGATTTCAATTTTCTATCAAATATTAGAATATCCGTTTTCAAAATGAATCATCAGGGAGTGAAAAATCAATTAAATAAAAGGGTAAACTTCAATTTTATAGTTTGCGTAATAATATTATAAAACATATTTCAATATGTGAACAGTAAACTTCAAGGCAGCAGAAAGTCAAATTCAAATTCAATTTATTGTGCCCATATAAAAACTACAGATAGCCGCATTCCATCATCATTCACTCTTTAAAAATGTTACATTCAAAACAACTACTTGCATATTAAACAATTAAACAGCACATGAAAACTATAAACATCAAAACAGATTAAGATTAACCCTAACAGTCCTCAGTCCTTCACCTATTGGAGGAGTGAGTACTGTTAGGGTTAACCATTAATACTCGCAGGTTACAAATCAAGAATTAATCACAATTGTCATTAATAAGACTGTGATGCTCATTTTTCCTTTCGGCTAAGGAATTGTACATTTGAGCTGAGTTGAAAAGCAAAGATTGAAGAAACCCAAAGAGGGCATGATTGTGCTAGGTGGAGTCTTATACTGGGACTTTTAGCATTTTTTTGTAAACCAGTAATGCATATGCCTAAGAGTTGTTTAAAAAATTTATTTTTCCTCAAGTTTGTCTTATTTTACTTTTTGCAGAAATGTGTGCATTTTGTTTCTGGCTTTCTTGGAATTTGGATATAGCCGAATATATTTTGAATATTCAGTGATTGGATGTCTCATACGGGAGAGGGGTAAACTCTACTATATTTGGGCATTGTATCCCTAACAGCTTGTCTGGTTCCCAGTGTTGATTCCTCTGAGTATCAGTACATGTACAAGTTTTTACATATCTTATTAAATCGTAGTTGGTAGCAGACTGTTGCCACCCCAATTTTTCCTGACATTATTTTCTCGGGTGAAAACAGGCGTATCAGTTTTGAGTCAAGGAAAGAGATGCACCAATATAAATTATATATTGTAAAATATTGCTTACAATGTATTTTTAAATTGTATAATGGAATTCCTCATTTTCTACAGAGATTTAATTTTTTATAAAATATTCTTGTACATGCTTTTTTAATGTTACAAATTAAACCAAAACCTTACATTTGATCTGTAAATTTACAGTTCAAGGTCACAATGGTAAACTTAGACAATTATTGACTTGATACTTACCGTTTTCATAATGCAGTAAAATAGACATTATAATTAATGTGCGCACAGGAAGGACGTCTCCTCCAAGCACTGACAAATTTTATGGTCTTTTTTGATGTCATACTTGCATGTAATTTGACCAAATGGTAGTCAATCCTATCTTTTAAGGTGTACAATCTATATTTGGTTGTTTGATAGTTTAAATTTGTTAAGTTCACTGAAAAAGGCAAGTATACTTAGAAAAGAGAAATAAGTCATATATGTGCGATATTTGTAGCACTTCTGTACATGAAGCAAATTGACAGAAATTAGTCTTTTTATTATCGTCCTTGAGACATATAGTTTGTCCTTTTGTGAATGAGTGACGTTTTTGCTTTCTCTGCCACGTATTCGCAACTGCTGTGAAATGAAGTATATAAAGGAAGTGTGAAGTTCAAGAGGTCAAAGAGTCTTCTGTCATAAAATGGGTGGACGACCAACTTTTATTCAGAAAAAAGGTCTTTCTCCTGCAGCAAACGAACCGTTGACGCACGCAGTGCGTGTGCAAACGTGTCTTAACTGCTTGATTTTTTTGAATAGAATATTAACGGACGTTACTCGATAAAATCCATTTTTACACCACAATAATATTGTTTACGTTTCAACACGTTATTATTGACTCCCTTTTGTTTGCTCAGCGCCTAGCGTCTCATAACAATGACTCCTAAAAGAGTCCCATAGTAACAGGCTTCCTTGTATACGTCTGCATGCGCATTGCTGTTATGCACGAATCGTCCCCACGATGAAAAGAACTCATCAATGTTTCCTTCAAAAATTCTCTTGGGTCGGAGCTCACTTTTCGTACTGCAACTAGGGGCACGCATTTTTTTTTTTTTTTTTTTTTTGGCATAAACATATTCAGGTCCCCGTGTATTGTAAAGTTATTTTGTTATACATTTCTCTGACGGAAGAGGGCGCTCGGCTCCTACTTTACTTTTCCACTCTGGAAAACCAGAAGATTGCAACCTCCAAGGGTACAGTCCAAGCCCCATTGAAAAGTGTCAAATCAGTACTGTTCAGGGTCAAATGCACGCCAACATCCCTGAGATTTCTGAAACACAAAGGAAATTCTTGTCTGGTCACTAATCTTTCAACTTCTTTTCAATTTTTTTGTGGGTTAACCAATTACACTTTTAATTATTCCCACAAAACAAAATCACCCCCAAGAAGTGATTTTTCCTAAGTCTGATAGCACCTAATTTTCAAGTGGCAACCCTTAACTTTCTCGGGCACTTAGAACCATTTTTCAACAGTAGTTTTTAGCCATTCTGCTCTCATATGAAAGCTCAAAGACCCAGGGAGTTGATCCTGGCAACAATTTACACAATCTCACCATTTTGGGGGGGGGGGGCAAACAATCTCCTTTTTCTAAAGATAGTTTGGGGGGCACTTTAAATGGTAATGAGCTGGCCGAATATTCTCACTTGAATAAGTGGTCTGCACCCCCAAAGAAAGCCAATATTGGTCATACGAGACCATGGAGGAAGGAATAGATGCCATCCTCCATGACTAGGCTGAAAACAAAAGTCTGACATAAGTACACTATAGACAAAATGCAGGTGACATTTTTTGAAAAAAAGTTAGGATTTATAATAAAATTCAACTCTTTATGTAGGCCTAAAGAACACTGTTATATCAAAATACTGTTATAGAGATACATTCATTTTTGTTTAAAATCCCATTTTCTTTTTAATTCAAAAGTTTTTATTAGATTTTCCATTCCTTTTAAAACACAGGGTCATAAAAATATTTGCTAGGTCCCTGCAACTTTGTTTTAATGAGAATCGGTAACTTTTTATAAGCCAGAATGTTTTCCTAATCACTTATGATCTGATGATGTTTTTAAAAGTAAATCGAAAGAGATAAAGTTCTAGCCTGAGTTGTATTAATATTGTGTTTTGTATCCATCTGTCAATGTTGATGACTGTTTATTATTTGTTTTATTTTGCAGGTTATATTGATCTATTATTTTGTTTGGTGCGAGTGCTCGTTTTACAGCACCTAAAAAGTAACCACTTGGTAAAAAAAGTAACCACTTGGTAACCGCCCCCTTTCATCGAATGTCCGTTGGGACTGGCGCCCAGGAGATCCACACAGCCTCGAAAAATAATAATAGTCACTTCAAATTGCGCCGCGCCACTAGAATTGGTCAAGTTCCCGCCTCACCTCGCGAGACGCAGATTTCATATTTCACGAACGTAATGTATGGGCATGTACTGGACATGTGCCTTCTCCAACACATGTCCAATGAACAATCCACATTGCACAGTTTTCCTACACGATCCATCAACACATGCCTCAAATCTATTTTTAGACTGAGCACCAGACCATTAGAGGCTGAAATTGAATGCATCCGCTGTGGCAAATAGTTCCAAATTTACTGATATTATGTACTGAACTGATTTTAAAGAACAAAAATAAATGTCTCTTCTTACAATTTGATTTTTTTTAATATTTATGACATCATTGACTCAAATTTCTTACCTTGGAGATGATAATCGATTTAGCGGCGTGATCTAATTTTGGCACTGCGGTTTTATTTACCTATCTCGCGTTCATGGCGTACGAGTGCACCAGGCCAGACGGATAAAATGTAAATTGTCTGAGGCGATAAATACTGTGGAATATACCTGAAAATCCGCGTGAAAACGCAGGAAATTTTAAATGAGAAGGTAAGATATCATACATATCAACCCTGGGGCATTTTGTTGAAATGAGGCTGTGTATAGGAATTTCGTACGGTTAGCAGGTTTGCTTTGCTGCAGAATAACCGTGGAGTTATCAAAATTCTGCATTGTTACGCGCGTACGTGTCGGCTGATTGCAAATTTACAGTATAACACGTATTGAAATAGTAGTGCGGTTCACTCAAGAACAGCGAACTCTGTGAATGATTTGGCAATATTATAAGCTAAAAATCTGGTCTTCGACTGTGTTTTGTGTTAATCAGTACAGTTGGAACTGCTGAAAATGCTGACTTTCCCGAGGCATAATTCAAGATTTTAATTCGTAGAAAAAAATGCAAAAACATGTCAAGCTCAAAACCTGTGAACATGCTTAATTCGTGTTGAAATTGAGCTTGTTTGAAAATTTGATCAGAGTTGAGTGAATGCTCATTCATGGTTTGATTCTATGTACAACTACAAGATTGTCTGCCTATTTTGAGGCATTAAGTACTGATTACTAAGTACTGTATCAATTTTGACAGGTGTTAATAAGTTAGAAATTTTGTAAATTCTTTCATATCTTTGTAGAAGTGCAAGCTGCATGTCAAAAGTGACATTTTCTGTGCAGATTAAGCAATGTGAGGGGGTTGATTGGCGATAACCACCCACCATGTGGTGGAAAATGTTTTAAACGAAGTAGGCCCCTACGTCAGAAAATTTTGCAAATTGCAACATTCATTTCCATTGCATAAGCCCTATTGCAAATACTGCACGGTTGATTTTGTACAATGGTAGAAAGGCATTGTGGGAAGGAAAAAGGGGCAGTGTTTGCTCCTTTTTCCTTCCCACAATGCCTATTTACCATTTTGCAAAATCGCCCATGCAGTATTTGCAATAAGGCTTATTGGTCATGTTCGCTAGTGTTTAACTTTTGGTGTGAAGATTTTCCCCAACATTAAGTGGTTGCGTGACGTTGATATTGCAACTCAAACTGTGTTGTGTGTTGGTCAATTTATGCCAACACTGACTTTATGGCTGAGGATTTTTCCATCTACAGAACAGCAGTGCATGTTATGAGGCTTTCCATTTTAACCAATGGATGACCACAACTTTAAGTAGGGTCACCAACCTCCAAACAGTGATGGTTAGAGCTCATGTCTTTCAGTGTCGGGAGCAGCATTGGTGTACACTTTTTTTTCCCTGTTCAATTTGTCCAGTGTGCTTGACCGAAGATGAGCCAGGAGTATACTGGGACTAGTGAGAATAATCCCCCACCCTCGTCAGCAGAGCACCAGTCAGGAGATAAGCCACAGTCAGTCGTAAGTTTCCAGTTCATACGGCTTAGCCGTTGTTTCTTGCTCCCGTTCACATCCACATGTATGTAGGGCATCGAGCCCATCTCTCTTGGCCTCTTTGCTGCATCGCGACCCGAACCCTGCCAAATGTACGTCCATGGAGAAATTGGGTATATTATATACATGTATGTTGCATCAAAAAAACCTCCATTATTTCTCGAAACGTGCTGTATGTTTTATTTTGCATATGTTGTACTTTTATGATGCATTTGAAGTACATCTGGTATTTGTTCCAAGTCTACAAATACGCCCTTGAATTCCAAAAGTCTGCACCCAGTACTTGTCAAAGCTTCTCTGTGGGAGGTGTGATGAGTTTAGCACTCTAGTAATTTGATATGCACACAGCGTTGCTCTATGTTTCCCATTGACACTGTCCACCTTTCTGCAGGAACCGGACGTTACCCAGTCTGCTCAGTCCACACAGCAGTCTTCAGCACCACAGCAAGCTGCCGCCAGCTCCAAGCCTTCCAGTTCCCCTAAGCGAACCCAGCCCCACGCAGCCAAAATGCAGCGAGTGACTATCTTGATGCTCGACGGCACAAAGTTTGAGTGCGATGTTGAGGTGAGACCCCCCCCCAAAAAAAAACCAGTCCGCTACCCCTCGTCCCCTTTAGCACTTTTAAACACCTTGTTTTATTTGATACACAAATGCTTGTATAAAGTGGCGCAGCAACTCGGACGTCCCGTTAGTCCACTTGAAGGTACCAGTAGATTCGGATGCACATGTTTTCAAAGTCCTACCCTGTGCAAGGATTTTAAACAATTCAACATAACTCTTACATGTGCACGTGCGAAGTTTGAGAAAACTGGCATCAAACCCTTACCACGGCACATGCCTTGCACAGCAGTCTGACGGTTTGTCCAGAAAAGAACATGGCAAAATTTCGGTACGGAGTTTAACAAGTTCGGGTCCATTGGAGCTGTCTCAACATGTAGTTTCTAAGAAAGTCAAGTCAATTTGCATATACGTGTCTGTGATAGTACGACAAAGCTTGGTAGTTTTTCTTCCATTACAGTAGCGTTGTAAGGGTTGTTACTGTCAAAAGATAATTCCATGCAGGTTTCATTGCAACTCTTATAATGAATACCTGTTTTAAGGTTTTAAGTGAAAGTGGTTTGAATTTCCTACATGTAGGTGGACTGTCTAAGGGCTTTTAAAAAAACTCCCCCTTCTCTAAGATGTTTACACTGAAGATCCACAAAGCACCTCAGACAACAATGCAAGCGGCCCCACTGAGCATGCCGAGTACGTGCATTGTGCATTGTGGGGGTCAGTCACTGTGGAAGTTTCCACTGGAGGTGGGGAGGCATTGAGGGTCATTGTGTCTAGACATTTAAGAAGGCTGTACAATAGCTCAGAGTTGACCTCCTTTAATTGCTCTGAGCGCTAATGGCTGGGCTTCTGTGACAGTCACAAGCAATCCCTGTGCCTTACATGTGTGTACAGGCAGACCAGAAGGCTGCCATTATGGTCATCATTGTGGTTTGGCTTGAAGTGAATTCTTAGAGAAGACTAAAGCCAGCCAAAAATTGTTGTTTCCCATATTCCTCTCGGTTTTGCTTGGAAAGTGTCAGCCCAAAATAGTTGAGATTGGTCACATTTGTGGTCTGTACTCATTTGTAACAGTTAACAAGTAACAATGTTGGATTTTGTAATGTTGACGCTAATTATACAACATTGGTTCTACGTACTTACAGGTTGTGTGGTACCTTAAGAATATCTAAACTTAGTAAGCATGTGGTTGCGGCTACAGACAAACAAGATTATGCAACAGTTTCAAGCCAACCAGCATAAAAAAAGCAACTTCAATAAAAAAAAAAGCTGGGCGATAACCACAAAAGTGAAGGGGGGGCTGGCAAAATAGATTTTTATTACTTTTTGACAAAAACAATATTGTTTGCATGACTTTCTAGGCTTCAGGAGTCGGGCAAGGGGTACATAACTAATTTTGCCTCTAGAGTCTTAAATGTGGATGCTGTCAGTGTTCTTGAGTTCCATTGTGCACGACGCCAAAATGTAAAAGAAGGTGTTACATAAGGAATAGCACAAAAAAGGGAACACCACACAAAACCTACAGCCACTACATCTCTCTGAAACCAATTTCATCCTTGCATTATTATTTTTACCACATATCTTGACATTGACCCTAGAATTAAGCACAAGTCCCACATGTGGCCTACCGTGAGAATAATAAACCAGATGTGACAAGTTCTGATCCTAACCTACACATACGTACATTTGATCACTTTTTGAGAGTCTTTTTTTATATCAAGGAGAGCAATCAGTTGGGCAGCTGACAGTCAAATGAACCTATAAATGTGGAAGATCACTACTACAGTGTAAACAGATGTTTAAACTGTAAAAAATGATGCATTTGTGTCTTATATATTCACTTTAACTGTTTATTCAAACTTCGGGAAAAATTACAGGTGCGTTCATCATTGAAAAAAGAATGGCTATTAAAACAAGTCATAATTGGCAAAAAAATACCAAAGCTGTATTTGGGCTTACGAGCCATGAAACAAGCATCCTTGAAATCTGTTAACTTATTTGTTTAATTAACAAACTACCCATTCGAAACCCCTTCCCCAGAAAATTCTTACTGGTAGTAACTTTTCCATAATTGTTTCCTCATTTCAAAACTCCATACATAGAGCCAGTGAATTTCCGCGATCGCGGAAAACGGACGGAATTCGCGGAATCAACACTTTGAAACGGAATCCACTGCTTCAAACGGAACTTGCAAAATTTCCCTCTAAGAATGGCTTAAAAAGTAAAGAAAACTTTCTGCAAAGTACTAAAAAATAAATGCCTGCCAAACCCTTTTCAAATGCTTGCTTTTAATGAACGAATTACTCTGGAAACATGCTAAATTGCACCACTCCACTACACGATTGGGTGGTCCGCGCTGCACCGGTGCTGATACTCGTAAGCACTATGGTGTGCGTGAGCCCCATGCATGCAGCGGCAGCTCGCACAGCGCAGCGGTGCGGTACAGTACATTGTGTATACACACATCAGCCGTTCACACGCGCACTGTACTAGCAATGAAATCAAGGCGCAAACAAGTTCTTACTCACGCACACTGGTATAACTATTGCACATGTGGGGAATTTAGTCTCTGAATCTGCATGGATGCCTTGAAACAAGGCTAGTACCCCATGGCGAAACGAAACTGCATCCGCAAAACGAATTACATATTTCTTGAATTAAACGAAACCTAGTAAGCTTGGTATACCATGGCTGAATTGGTCCTGGGAAGTGTTCAATAAAGAGGGACGTTTTCAGTCACAAACATACATTTTAAGGCTCAGTTTTAAGGTTAGCTTTCTGAATTTTGTCGCACTTCTGCCAAATAAAATGTCCAATATTAACATATTGTGATCAACGACCGTTCCATGCAAGACGTACTCTGTGACTTCACTGTACATGTACGTGATCTGATTTCATATACAAGGAGTGGCACATGAATTGTCCATAGATTAATCGTGGCAAGTGTTTGGTGATCGCAAGCCGGTGGAAAATCAAGGGGTGGGGTGTGTAGTATTTAGTGTCTGGATTTGTAATAAATTTCACTGCAGAAATTATCAAAAAAGTTGGAAACATTTCAGAGTATTTCCAAACAATGTTGTTATTTTTATTTCTTGTCTTTCTTTTTTTTGGGGGGGGGTGGGGGCTGGGCAAAGGTTTCCATGCATAGCTTAAAACTTGCTCTCCTACATGTATTTCATGCTTACAAATGTATGAAATTTCTGAAGTGGAATTTGGGATTTGGTGAAACAGAAAATACTCATTTTTGAAACGGAAAATCATTGGCTCTACATACGTGTAGTTGCAGTTGCCAAGCTGACTTTTTTCCCGGAACTATTCTGTGCACGCACACACCTGTACATTTATTGCAGAGATTGAAGAAATGTGGGTTGTGCTTTATATTCCCAACGGGCCAATATTAATGGGGACTGTTATGAAAACCTTGACCCGTTTATGCAGCGCAGGGCTCCCAGACTTCTATGTAAATACATGTACAATGTACCAAGCAGCCGGTTCTCTGCCCTGGCAAGGGCACGCGCTGTCTGGTCTGTTTCTACATCAGCTGCAAGATCTCATTTTGTGTGTGTGTGTGTGTTGACGCTGCCACAGGTATGTGGAGTCAACAAGAAAGCAATGGGACAAAGCTAGCCGTTGGAGCGGGTTGATGTGCAGGCACACCCGGTTTGAATGTTGGCGTTGATTTTTTCCCACTCTGTCCAGCCCAGCTGCACTATTTGGAATCTGTGCATAAATGATCCATTACCGCAAATTGTTGATGAGAGCGATCACTGATGTCTGTTGCGTTGAAAAAGAACCAGGTGTTGTCATTTATTGAGTCCTGGTTGACATGCACGTGCAAGTGGTGAATTTGATCTAAAATGAAAGTTTGCCAGATGTTAAATACCTGTGTACAACATCGTACATGTACAGGTTGTTTTCACCGGCACAAACATACATACATGTACATTTTGCTCAAGTTCAAACTGAATGTACCATACCAGGCAGCTCAAAGGCTTGCAAAGCAAGATTTCAAAGACCTCTTTGTAAACATTCCAGGACTTTTTTTCCCACTGAAACAAAATGGAGAAAAAAAGGTCATCAGGTCTTCTTGCATCTTTGTCCCTATGCTGGAGTAAGATTTCATTTATTTAAACTCTTTCGTAAAACTGCTGATTGGTACCACCTGCCATTGGCCATGTTGAGGCAGATAACGAAAGAGCGCATGTGCTGTCTCCATTATGCCAGCGGAACTCACACTCATGTATTGTAAACTGTTTACTACAGGTATATTAGTTATACACGCACATGTAGGAGACACTTGTACCTTGACCTTTATGTCCATCACAAATGAACTCTTTGACATGTGTATTCAGAATAATGAGTCGTCTCCTAAGTCGTTTTTAACCACACTTATCATATTTGAAACCACTGTATTCTTTGACAGTAGGCCTGCCATTTACGTTACCATACAGATGAGTTGTGTAGTGTTAACATTGTACGAACCCCATCAGTGCTTGATATTGGTACCGTAGTCTACACTGACAGAAGTCCAATGGGGTGAACTAGCTTTGCTTTGAGAATATTGTCATCCTCATGGTTAAAGATTTATTTCAGGCATCTTTTTGTTGGTTTGGATTTTATTAAACTTAACTGAATCGTGTTAAGCTTTTGACCTTCCTTACATACATGTGCTATGTGCTTCATACTGTACAAAAGGGCATGAATGAACCAGTACAGTCATTGAACATGTACTTGTACATGTGCACTGGTACATTACATGTACATGTACAGTGCTGTACAGTGCGTGGTACACATACTGTTAAGTGTACATGTAAATGTACATGTAGCATGCATTGGCCTGCATTGTTGTGCAATGTGGCATTTGTGGAGCCATCAATTGCAGGGTACAAGGATTGATCAGTGGACAAGGTCACTGGGTTCAAAGGTCAGTTCATTGGTGCTGTTGGATAGCTTGTAATTTGTCAGTCTCGTTAAGCCTGTCCTTTGTTAACTTCTAGACCACATATTGTTGGAATTCAGTCACCTTTGAAATTGAAATGTATTGCCCAATAGTGATACATTACACTAATACAGGTACTGGTACCTGTTGTTGTTTCTTAATGGTTACATGGCGCTGCATCAATTATGATTCATCTGAGTATTGCTTGATGTGAAGTTTATTCCGAAGCGTCAAAAAAGATCCCACCATTTAAGTCTAGAGTCATGATATGCAAAAAACATGTGTCAAAGGCGTTGTGCTGTGTGTCCAGCATTGAAAGCATGTATGTACATGTACGGCCTGCAGATGTAAATGGCTAGATTAAAAAATGCAGTGATGCGTAAGCTCACCATGCCAGCCATGGCTGTGCAGTGTTGCACTGTGCGTGAGGATTATGTACAAGTGCATTAATACAGGCCAGGCTTGACAGTTTTAACCTCTAGCATTTTGAAATTGTCCATATTAATCTGAAACACATTTGTGTAGAGACTGATGTGTTGCATGTATGACATGTACTGTGTGTGCCTGTCTTTGACATTTATTTCGGAGGTTGGAAAATTGTTGGTTAACATGTGTAGCACAGGGCACACGTTGAAGTTAATCTACTGAGCAAGGCAGAATTTTAGAAAAGTAAACTGTTTTATCGCACCCACTTGCTTTCATTTTCTTCACTTTTTTTGGGGGGGGAATGTATATTTTCAATTTAACTTCAGAACAAAATGTGTATACATGCAAATGCAGAACCTGTGAAATACAGTGAAACGTGGAACTACTTTAAAAGCTTTTAAAGCATGTATCAAGAGTTGAGAAAAATTTAGAACTCATCTGCCATCTTAGAAAATCAACCATCTTGGAAAAAAAACAGAGGCGCTGACTCCTGGTTTTGAGAAAAGAAAAGGTGTAGAAAGTATTAGAAAGATGACAAGGATGACAATGTACATTTGTTTTAGAAATGTTTTTCACATTGGAGTGCCTGGCACATCTTCCAACAAACCTGTTCAATTTGGTGTTACGTTGGTGGTTTTTTCCTACTTGTAGAAACGTTGCAAGGGTCAGGCAATCCTCGACAAGGCATGTCAGAATCTGGACCTGATGGAGAAAGACTATTTTGGGTTAGTCTACAAAGACAACCAGGAAGCAAGGGTGAGTCGATCAACTCCCGGTCATTTATTGGATTGACTTCATTCAAGCCCCGAACTGTTTTTCCCCAGAACAACACGAGCAAGGTCTGGTGTTCTAACCAATTTATCTCATTAGGCGATGGGTAATTGGCTTGGAGCAACTGAGAGACTATTTTCTTTTTTGCCTGGATGGGATGCCAGTCCATCGCAGGCTGCTCCCCCAGCTAATGCAGCTAGCCATTTGTACCCCTGGTTGTCCTGGGTGGAGAGAGGAAAGCAAAGGGGTAAAGTGGCTCGCCCAAGGCCCCAACTTACGGCCAGCTGCTGGATTTGAACCCGTCACCTTCTGGTCAGGAGCCCTAAACCTTAACCACTAAACCGCACTCGCCAATTAGAATTGAGTTGACATTTTGTTAACTGTTCCGAGTAAAATTTTGTGAGAAACTAAAATTAAGGTGGTTCGATCAAATACTGACAATACAACCCTAGAAGTTAATGGCCATGTAAAGTTGTGGATATGCAGCTCCTGAGTTTGTATTTAGTGGTTTTTAATGTTTGTGTACGGTTTACTCTCTTTTTTATCAGACATGGCTTGACCCAACAAAAGAAGCAAAGAAGCAGATAAGAAGTAAGTTTTTTTTTGGTTTTCCTCTCAAATGCCATGTAATAATCTTGGGATGATTCTAGAGAGCGGAGTAAATTGCCCGAGTAGCTTCCTCATTTGCCATGTTTCTTCAATTTGGGAGCTGGAAGTAGATTGGCCATCGCTCTCAGCATTTTTCTCCAGCCCTGTTAGACCATTTTGGACATTTTTATTATCGCCGGAGAAGAAACTCCTCAGATCTAACCTGTCGCGAGTAATATATTCATTAATTTTGGGGACAGTTTTACAAAACGCTGACGCTTCATGCTGTTAGGCTCGTGTCATCCGATACGTGGTGTCGTCGCCACTCCGGCCTAAAGTTTTTTCTTGCGCGTATCCATGCCAGGCAAACATTTCGCCCGGGACCACATTCTTCTAATGTTGGCCGTGTACACATGCGCGGAGAAGAGGTCGCTTTGAAAACCTAGGCAAACATTTCAATTAGCGGTGGCTGCTGGTTTGGGATCCGGGCTGAATGGAATGGGGCCGCAATGAACAGGCTTTTTTCTTGGCCAATGTCAACTCCACTGCTTCGCTCACCGAGTTCAATTACTGAGCAGTAGGCTTGGACGATGTTGCAGTTTGTGACACCGCAATATTTTGTGACAAAAATACCGCGATATTCACTGATACTGCTATATTCTTTGAAGTGGGATATTGAGTGTGCGTCATCAAGAAGCAACCACGATAAGAGGCAACATTCAATGGGAATGCCAACAACTCCAGACCTCCACTCTCAAAGCTCATGCACATGCACACCAAAACCACAAAGACAGTGATAATAAAACTTCAAAGGATTTTGGTGGCGGGTTTGGCAGTTGCTCAAGTGTTCTGTTACGGAGTCCAAGCGACAACGAAGATACCGGTTGACAATGGATGACTTGCACTAAAAAGATGGACTGAAATACGATGATATGATGCTTTTCCTTTATTTTCAAAGCATATTAGCAAGAATACCATGGTATCGAAATTCCTTGCGGTATTTCGGTATTTATGGATCTCTAGTCTGTATTGAAGAAATACCGCCACTATTTAGTGATACCTTTAATACTGTCCAAGTCTGCTGAGCAGTGTTAAGGGTAACTCCTTTCGGGTTTGTCAGTATTACTTGTAAAAATTTGCTTAGGAGAACGGCCCCATCAGATATGTTAAGATAATGCTGCTTTATGAAACCTGGACATCTGTGTTTGTCATCATTGAATCGTCTGTCCTGTTACGCTTACCCAGTGAGCTAAGTGCAGTTGTCACAAAAACCAGCTCTGGCACTGGGCTCTTGAGGTCGTCGATTCATATCCCACCCTTGTCCATTTCTCTGTTCCTTGTCTTGACATCAACAATCTCAATGCAGTACGTACATGTTGGCACTGCATTCTAGTGTGTACATGTGTATTCCTTCGTTTTCATTTGAAGAAGAGTCAGCTAAAATACTCATATTTCTTGAACTCTGAACCTTTTTTTGAGCAAGATATTTGGACGTGATGTCCCCAGCTCTTACTCCTCATTTTGTGGCGATAACCTCAATCCCCAAATGGCTCTAAACCTGTGTTTTAGAGAGGGGGAGACTTGTGTGGACCTGGGCTGGTCCTCACAAGGTCTTTGCCAGCAACACTGTGAGGACTTTAATTGTTAAGAGGTCTAGATACATGTAGTGATTAACATGCTTGTACATAGGTACAAGTGTTTGTTCATCACATGTAACTTTTGGGGGGTTCGGAAATTTTAAAAATATTTGGGTTGGTATTGGTTCTTTTCCATTGAAAATGGAGACCTGGTTACACATGTACATGTACATGTGGTTCTCAACCAGATCAGAATTATAGAAGCCCAAGATGTGTTATCCAGCTAACAGGAAACATGATTGTTATATTTTTCTACTCCATACAGTTAATATGCACTAATGCACACATTGGCGTTAATGGGCTTGTTGGTTTTTTATAGGCATAACCCCACACTTGTTTGTGATGAGTAGGATTTGAACAAGTGCCACTCACTGCTTTCTGGATGATCTCCGTTCTGGGTGCATTTGGTGGTCATAACCAAGAATTTTGGTTCTTTTTCCAAGGGGAATTAGGCAAGCGTAACTCACGGGGCGAGTCTCAAATCCCCAAGACAAGTCAACGAGAAGAGAAACAGTCTCGGTCATGACCACCAAACTGCTCCCCTGATGGGACCCACTGTTCCTGTCCCAGGATGAGAAATAATAGTAATATGCTAATGTTTTTGAAGAGCATATGTTGTTGATGGGAAGCATAACTCACGCTGTTGAAGTTCAGCTGTGTCACGGTCTCCATATTGATCAAGTGCATGTACTGTCTGCGTGCCAGGGATGCTGGCATCGTATTGCTTGTTAGCGGGTCTAGCCCCACAACCGTTGACAGATGGGAATTGGAGATGTATGGAGGCTCCATGTCTGACTAGATCGGCCTATTTTGATCCATGGAAAAAAATATGTATGTGCATGAAATACATGTACACAAATGTGACCCGAATTATCGAAACAAGTCACAAGTTATCATAGCCAGTTGTTTTGGAAGGCCTTTTAAAAATTGGCACAGTGCCAATCAGAGGAAATACTAAAAATGCTCATGTACTCGTCAGGATGCTAACCTAGCATGCAAGGGATACATCAAAACAAAGAACTCCTTTTGCTCTTTCTGATGCATTTCAAATTGCTGAAAATATGGCCAGAAGACTCATTTTGCAGTACCCAGTCTCAAATGTGGTAGTTGTAGAAGTCTACCTGTTTGTGTCGCCTCAAGCGTTCTGTCTTACAGCCCACTACGTGTTCTCTGGTGGTACCCTACCAGACCCATTGGAATCTGTCACAGCCGAATCCGAAGCTGTCCCTTCTTGGTCCGTTCAACATTAAAAAAAAACCCAACAAGTTTGCCGAGTGGATGTTGCTGGGATCGGTGCCAGCAGGGTCCATCTCAACAGTTTCATTGAAGGTCTTGTTATGTACATGTACATTGTATGTATCGTGTACTCTTTCTTTGACAGGCTAAATAAAAACATCCAGACAGTTCCAAATACAGGCTGGTGGCTATTTGCATATTTTCAACCACAACCTTCCTTTATGGCAAAGTACTTCATGGCCAATGTGGCTGTGAGGGTAATGCATTACCTTAGAACAGATTCATGGATTTTTGTGTGCCTGGCTTTATGGTTTTTTCTTTGACTATCAGTTTGCACCTGCTAGGATCTACTGTACGTTTTGACTCGTTACACTTAATTTGTTCTGACAGGGGTTGGGTCAGAAGATGTGTGGGTGGTTTTGCCTTAGGAGGAAAAAAAATGGTCTCTAAGAGAACTGCGTCATCCTTAAAAAATGTTGTTCACTTCTTTTAGCCGCTCTGTACAATTTTCTCGAGTCCGTTTCCATTGTATTCAATGTTCCAGTTGCTTTGGCACATTTTTTATCCCCGAAAGAGAGTAGTTCAACCAAGGATGAAAAAAAAAATCCACCCTGTGAAAAGATTTTGCGAGGTTAAACATTGAAGTCGGTTTGACAGGATTGCTGTGTTGGGAAGGGCAGCTTGAGAGAATGGAACCTTTCGCAGACACCAGTCGCTGTCCTCGAAAAATGCATGTACCACACGAGGGGATTAATCAATATATGTGCCGTGGTAATTACTTCCCCGTTTGGCTGTTAGTTATGGCCGAGTGGACATTCCCGGGGCTGGCAGACATCTTTGTGTTTGGGGATTGCGTGCTCAACTGACAGATGTAGGGCGTATGGATTCCAAGATACATTTACATGTGGGCCTGGCAGTTGGGGATTCCAGGCAACCGGGTACATGTTGGTCTAGCACCTTGCCTAGGTCGCAGCGCTTTCAATTGTCCCTTGACATCCAGAAACCAGGCTTTTTTCTTTTTTTTTCACTGGTATGCTTAAAATTCTATTCAGGGACATACAAGCACAGTATGTACAGGTGCATATATAATATATGTACAGTACTATGTGAAACACATGTGCTGTAAAATACTGTACGGGAGCCAGGTGTAATTGAACAAAGGAGAAGAATGTGACGGGGGGGGGGTTGTTCTTTTGTTTCCCTTGCATTCTCACTAGATGCAGTAGGTACGTGTACATGTGAATGTACATGAAGAAGGAAAACCCCACCGACGGTTTACTGCACCTTCTCCCAGGTTGAATGAATATTTGTTCTGGCTAAGGGGCCGGCACTTAAAAACCGCTTTTGATCCAACACTTTAGGCGACGTAATCACGTTAGTTTTGTCCCACAATACAATTTTGTCCGGGGTTCCATCTTGAGCTGCCTACGTGCACGGCTGATGCAAGGGATGTCGTTCGCTGGTCATGATTCTTCAATTTGCTAACATTTCTGATGTGACAGGGACGGTCACTGCTGTGAGTTCAGCAGCAATAAAGTTTGTTGCCAGTCTTTTTCTTTTGTTTCCAAACATGTCAGCAACATAATCTCATCGGACAGAATGATTCAAATCCTGATTCCTTCAGTATTTAAACACGACGGAGTGTTTCTATTAAAATGCAGTGGTGGTTCTAATAGTAACTCAAGTGCTACACATGCCATGTTTTTTTCATTTCTCGCATCTTCCTCTGTTGCAGGATCTTTCTTGAGGGCTTCTTTTTATAGCTAGATCTATTTTTGGCACGGGCCCTGATCCTGACACATTCTGCAGCTTGCCCGTATTGTCCATTAGTGGGGTGTTATTTTGCATGTCATTCTAATCGGGAATCTGCCAGGGATTTTACAGGCAAAAGAAAAAAACCTAAGCTAAATGGAGACTGTTCTCTGATTTTGTACATCTGTGAAGGGTATTATGAACTCAGAATCACCGTAGGCACAGGTTGCGACATCTTGTAAAGCACAGAACCTGCTGTTTTTTTTGTTAAGTTGCTGGTACAAGTACCAGTACATGTACATACAGAGCTTATGTTTTGTCCTCTCCAGTTTATTGCCCGATGTAGTCGCGTCTGTCATAAATCTCTGCAAGTCCCCA